CATAACTATGTAACTTTTCTTTTTTCTGTTGATAGTGTTTTTTTAATTTGATTCTTGATACACGTTTCTATTACTTTATAGTATAATATAACAGTTTGAGGGCAGTGACGAAGATAGACACGGATGGTAATTGCCGTGTTTTGGACGTTCTTGATTTAAAAATTGTTCTCTTGTTATATCAAATTTTGGATTTTCTTTTTGTAAATTTCTGAGGAGTAAGTTTTTTTTAATTATTTACTGTTTATTTAATTTTAAATTATTTGAAATCTTTTATTTTAGCTTTCGGAAACGCCCTCAAATAAGGTTCAATTAGGGTAATACAAAAACAATTTATTTAAGTGGTAATTTTAACCACAAACATTAAAGTCAGAAACTTATTAGTCAATAGTCAGGCATCGTTGTAAACTATTTGTTATATGTGTATGTGGATATTTCTTTTTAAAATAACCTGTACTCATTTGTTTTATTTTACATAAATAAACCATAATAATAATTATCCTTTGTGGTAATAATGGAGTACTTATAAACTAAAAATAAATACTAAGTCTTACAGTAAAAGTAACTGTGCTAGAGCATTTTTGAAAACTATCAACTTAAACGAAGGGTCCTTCAAGAAAAGAGGGAACCAATTCCTAAAAGGCCGGCAACGCACTTACTAGCCCAAGGCCCTAGGCAATGTGAGTGCGCTTTCACTTAACCTCAGGTAAGCCTCCTGCCTGTTTGCTTCTATTATATAAATAAAATAAAATAATAATGAAAAGTTTAACTATTAATATACACTTGAATAAACACTTCTTAAACTTATAGCAGCAAAATTTAATTTTCCTGAAAGCAATCATTAAGCGTTGAAAAGACTGTATCAAGAACTGAATATGACTTGAGACTATAATGAATGGCGCACCTCACAATACATTTCTAAAGGTCTATTCGCCTTTCAAGGATTCCTTGGAAAACGAGAAGGGATCTATCACAATTCATTATAATATGAAGTTGATTTTCCATTGTGAACCTCCATAATACTCTCATTTGGTTTAGATCAAACGTCGACTACAATACCAGGTCGCATTTAAAATCGATTAAGATAAGCCATTGATAACTATCTGTGTTATTCGTTAGACTATCTTTTATATACTTCGAGGCAAATATGTTAAAACTATAAAAAGAACTGCTTTATTTCAACTTCCCAATAGTCAATATCTAAATTGACACTAGAAGAATAGTGACCGTCATAACACAAGCCGTCGACTTTTGTGGGTATGCCGATTTCTTCACGATGTTTTACTTGTACGAGCGAGTGTCATATACATAGACAGAATCTCCATTGATGCATAGCCCGGGTTTGAACCTTGGAACGTATACGTAGGGTACGACCTCGGGGATGAGAGTTGCACGCTTAGACCAATAGACCAACACTGCTCCTCCTTACATATTTAAATAGAGCAACATACGTAAGACAAGTTAAAAAAGGTTACCCGTGACACAATCAGGAAATCAAAACGGATATGAAATAATCTTGTTAAAAGTAAGCCATTTGCTAGCCAAAGAGAGCCATTTTTATTAAAAATATGATTTTTAGTATCGTAAAAATTAGACACCTCTTTACAAAAACCGAAGTGTTTTTAGAAATGTTGAATTACTACACTAGTGTGTTGGAAGTTGGGCGATCATTACAACTTTATATATATAATATATCTAATTATTTATTAGGTTAAATGTTTTTTAAATAAGCTGATATGAATAATGATCATTAATTTTAAAAATCAAAAATGAAAGCCCATTTATATATATATATATATATATATATATATACTTGTATTAAAAAATCTGTTGTACATAAAAACTAATGTCAAAAGTTTAACTTGTACATTACCTTATAACAGTTCCATGTAAAGCTATACGTATATCTGATTCTAAAGCGTCAATATAAAACATGAATTATAAGCTTAACTGAAGAATGTATGAATGACAAAATATGCAACATTTTTTATGAAAATATCCCATTGAAACTCAGGAAATGTCTTTGAATGGGTCGACAGACGAATAAAACTGCAACATGTAGACGATAGGCAGACGTCATGTTATCTTTGCATACTTCTCTATGTTGTTAAACATACTTTTGGGACGGACTAACTTATTTTTAAGCCCGGAATATTCTTGCAAAAAGATTCCGTTACTATTGCAAAAAGTTAATACAAAAAAAATATAAGGAATTTAATTAATATGTGCACGCAACGCGCAAAGATCCAAAAAGTTTAGAAAAAATCATCGTGACTGGCAGAGTGGCGGGCACTCGAACTCGATGCTGATCCCCTACCTGCTGGACCGATCAAGTTAAGGCCCTAACAGATTTGGCGAAGACAGGAGAGAGTGGAGGAAATTGTGTGGCGCCACTAACACGACCTTCAGAATGAGTGCGATTGAAGAAGTGTGTACATGTTTTACTGTTTTATCTACATCAGTGATCAGAGTGGCGGGGTGCAGTTTTATTTGGAAAATAAAAAGTGTCATTAACATTAATTTGGGAATAAAGAATTTATCTACGCTGTACCATCCTCACAGAATATGTGAATATCCATGATGTCAAATTTTGCATTTAATTAAATGAATTATTATTATTAGAAATGATGATGAAACAAGCACAGCACAGCCTACTGACGGTGTATGCCCCGTCTTAAGACCCTCAAGAAAAAGCACACTCACGTACACATATACATATTTATAATTGTATTGGTGTATCCTTTGGTGTAGTGGTTTGACGTTGAAATACTGATAAATTGATTGTTAAACTTAATTTATAACAAGGTGGTGGTACAGAAAACTGTACAACATTACTATTAACGTGGAATTTTCAATATGATCTAAATTTGTCAATCATGAAGGTCAATGTCAAAAAATGAAGGATCTAAATTTACATTTACCACCAGTTTCCAAAGGCGTGGAGCAGGCGGGACATCATACATAATTAAATGCTCCAACTATTAAAATACATTTGTATCTATTTATTACTTGCCACAGTTTAAGCATTGAGTTGACGAATGTTTCAATAATTATCAATTAGAATTATAGGTCCGTATGAGTTCTGCCCTGGACTTTTAGTATTCGAATACTGAAGCTCATCTAGAGAACTTTAGTCTCATCCGTACTTAAAGTTGAGAAGTTCTCGCTTAAACAAATAACGCATTTGAATATCCAGCCCAGTTTGAATTGAATAGCTCGAATACTTGCCAGTTTTCCACTTGAAAACTTAAGTTTGTGGTTAAAAATTGCCTCGTACGTTACACGATGTTGAAAGCGACTGAAATCTCGAACGAATTAGGGCTTCAATTTCTTAAGAATGTTATTTAAATGAAAAGGCTTGGTTTTTATTATATCTTGCTACAGACGCAAGAAATTTTCTTAATATACTGTAGTATTACTCAATTTAAATTAATTAGGACTTGAGTTTAACTTACATATAAAAAGAACTTATATTAAAAGAACTTTATTTAATTCGTAGCACTAGCACCTCTTCTTGACGTAGAAAAATATGCTACGCCGTAGAAGGTCTATGGTTGTGTAGCATCATCACTTCTAAAAGTTTTTAATATTGTTTTAGTTTTTCGTGATTACTACAAGTTTGAATTGAATATTTTTGAAAAGCTCTCGAAACGTCGAACTAAATTGGCTTAAACGTTTATAAAGATTTTCTAAGCAAGATTTCAAGTTAGTATGCATATATATTTTGACTTTAGTTCTGTGTAATTAATTTATACGTATGATTATGTGAATAGACAACGATTTCTACGGGATATAACTATCGGATATATACCTAATATAGTAATAGTTAACTGGTTTAACCTGAATAGAAATGTAGGTAATAAATAACATTATGTGTTAAGTTAAGGCACCGTAATATTTAAGAGCTACGCCCGATTAAGATGTTAATTGAGAAAGTTCTCGAATATTTGTGTGAAATCAGATACACGAGCAATTAATTGTCTTATGAACTTGTGCTGTTTAGTTTAAGTTATGTACATAGTTTCTACTAAGTCACATTTGAATTATTCACACGTAGCTTATATTAAACAGCAATTAATGATAATAAATATGTGTTGAAAACTGTGAAATAGATATATATATTTTAATGACGAATAAATATTTAATTTATGTACGCGAGAGCACATTTAACAGAAAATACACTTTTAATAAAATTTAATAAATTTGCGGAAAGTTAAGACAGTTTAATACCTACTTAAATGTATAATAATCAGATAGCAAATTTAATTTAAATGTATAAATGATCTATAATGTTTAAAAAAATAAATATCATACGGTGTAAGATATGTATTTACTTTCCATTAATAACATTACAACATTCACCTACATGAGAAAATATACTTATTACTTGTACAATATATTGCGCTTATTAATTTAAATTACTACAGTAAAAAGTAGAACAGCAGGCAAGAAACAGAAGACTTATTAAATAAGAATACAGCAGTTGCAATTTTTTTAACAGTTACAAAGAAACAATAACAAAAAATAGAAGTATCTTATCAAATAACACACGAATCTATAGTTTACGGGCAGTCCTACATATTTGAATACGACTTCGTTGGCGTAGACTAATAAATAATATAGGATCTATTTATTACATGTAGGCGTAATCGGTTAATTTTCTTTTTCAAACTACATATATATTGGCTATCTGAAATAAGCCTATATCAACCCGTAGATTGGCAGGTCACACACTAAGAGCTCGAATATAGGTTCGTGGCGTTGATCCAATTAAGAATTCCTGTCAATTAATGCTATGCACACAATACATTTTGATAGCAAGATGAAGAAAGGGCGCCAAGTAGGCCGCATGCGCAAACCACATAGAGGGTAGAACTTCAGTCACACGAGATCAGTTGACGAAGGAACGCTTTCCTGTAAGCACGCATTTTGTGCGGTTATATATTACGTAAGCGATATAATGAAAGTACGTAAACGGTAGCGTGCAATGCGCGACGTGAGTTATGCCACCGTTTCTTGTGGTCGTGCTTTTAGCAGTTCTGAACTTGTGTGAGCCACTGTACCACGATCAGTTCGCGATACATGTGCCTAGTGGAAATGCAGATGAGTTGGCGAACCGGCATGGTTTTATTAATCACGGACAGGTAAAAATTAGAATATATCGCTATCTTGTAGATTAATGTAGTTTTCATTGTTTTCTTTGTTTAAACTTTAAGACGTATGACTAATGAAATTAAAGTTTAAAATCAGTAATTAATGTTTAAAAGTCTCATGAAATATGCAGTAACGATTTTAATAATAGTAAGATACGGTACAAGATAAGTAATATAAATTTCATAACTCTCATTACTTTTTAAAGCATCTATTTTAAAAAACTCACTAATATCACAGTAGAACAAAAAAATTATCAATTACCAATGTACTAAAGTGTAACAGTTACTTTAACAACTGATATTGGTTTAATTTGTATTTATATCTGTCTTGATTCAATTACCGTATAGTTACAAATTCCCGTCAAACTGTTAATAGCTGAAACCGTAGTTAATTAAACTTCACACAGTGGCTTGTTCGATGATCTTAGCCACTAAGTCGCTCTATTTCTCGACTCTGAAGATATTATCTAAAATATGACTTTCGTGTGTCCGTAATAACCGTATTGGATCTTGACATATGTCATTCACTATATCGACTCTGCATATCACCTTAGGCATTATTGGACCACGCATTTAGAAGATCATTACAACCAACTTGACTATTTATACTATTTTTGTTTAAACAAAACACGTTACCGAGCTAAAGCTTTTGACTATTAAATTATTTAAAAGTAAACTTTTCGGAAATGTGTTCATATGAAAGGTTGATTTTATTGTAAACATTATAAACTTAATTTAGATTTTGATGACTCATAAGTAATGTTTCCTCATAAACATAAAAAATTTGGGTAAGTTTTGTAATATCGTGACTTTATATACATAATACTTTTGAAATTATATTAATTGCTGAATATAAATAGTATTTTCCTGTAGTATCTAATTTTTAAATAAAGAAGTGTTTTGATGAATATTTCAAAGTCCGTACTTTAAAATTGCAAGAGATATTCTTCTCTCGAGCACTGTCAAAAGAGTCCAACTCGTAGAGTTTTCAAAGCTTGATTAGATTTCGAATCCGTTTTTGTTTGTTAACTAGTTATTGCCGGCGCGTCTTGATCACGTGAAAATTAGTAACGATGTTTATAAATGATACTTATAATGTATGTAATTTAGATATGTATAATTTAAACTTAATATATATCTATTGAGAAAATCACACTCAAAAGTAAAGAAACATTAAATGTTGAAAAATATAGTAGTAGATTTGTATAAATATAAGAAGGCTTTGTAAACCGTAAATTCTTTTTTATTCTCCCATTTGACTTTTGAAATAGGGAAAAGTTAAGAAAAATATTACTCAGAAATTCAATTTCGTGTACTTTACAAAGTATGATAAAAGAAAATAAAAAACAGAATATGACTTTCGAATAAATTTCCTAATGTATAGCAGAAACAATCTTGAATTGAAGGGAAAATGAAGACATAAATTATTAGCATTGTTGACAATAAGAGAGGTATTTGAATAAAATATTTTGTATCATCATTTTGTTTGGAAGTTATTAATGAGCAGAAAATGTATAACAAGAAATGTCTAATGCAACCAATAAATGTAAACAAACCAGTGAACATAATAAGGATACATTACTTTTATGTGAAGTAAGACAATTATTTATTTATAATAGTATATAACTGTCACTTGTTTATGTGCTAAGTTTTTGTGAGAAATAAATAAAGATATATTATTATTATTATTATTTTATCATTGAAACGCGTTTTTACCAATTTTTGAACTGATTATTTGGGAAAAACCTGTGTGTTTAGGAAAACATAATTACGGTGTTCCTATAAGTTCCCATTTATAAGTAACGACTCTGGAAATAGGTAACAATCCGCGTTTATTCTTATTATCTGTTTATTGATATTCTTCATATAAACTAAGCAAATATGTTAGCACAAAGTATCCTAGGTTCGTTCGTCATTTTCATGTCATTAAGAATGAAACTTCGATACGAATTATTCAGTACAAATGTATAGATGTATTTAATGGAAAAATATTTAGTATATCTTTGTACAAAGCCCTTTGAGAAATGTACCAAAGATTTTTAAGCAGATAAGTCCAAGTTATTATACGATTAGATGGGTCTCCGCATCGGTTTTGCTAAACATTTCAAACTCAATCTTAAAATTTACGAAACTTTACCAATGGGATTATTCTATAAGTTTATCAAAGACCTAATTTTTCTCATAATAATTACGTATACAATTGTTCGTTTTAAATAAAAAATATCAGTTAAACAGCATATTGTGATTGGCGAATGACGTTTTTAGGTCGTGAATGTAAATGTAAAGTACGTACGAACTACGGCAAAAAAATGTTTACCTACGAAGGCGCACAGCTGTATAAATACACTACCCACAGATATAAAAAATATTTCTTCTATCAATTCATTCAAATCAAAGCTAAGCGAATATGTAAGACAAAATTACTTTTAAATTCATTTCTTATAATTACTTTAAATTCTTATTTCTTTGGTTACTTTTATTTTTAAGTTTATTGCATGTACGGCTATATTTTATTGTGATTATTTTAAGAACGACTACAATGTTATGTTAATCTAGAGTATTATTCTCATGTAAGTGAATTTTTTTGTCTTTTTGAGAAATAAAGTCTTTAAACCTAAATATTAGCAAGCTTTATATTTTGTTTAAGATGTTATCTCCAATATATAGAAATATTTTACGTTAAATGGCAGTGTGGTGGGCTAAAAATCTCGTAACAATTGTTGTTTAAGAATTACAATCAGTATCTCATATGCACAAAAAGAACGGATTTTTGTTTAGGACAACATTTCTGAGTCCTTTTAACGGTATATGAAAGTAATTAACAACGTAGCCTTTATCCGATTTTTTTATTAAAGATACAAGTTACAAATGCTACAAATCGTAATATTTTTAAAAGCACGGCTTTCAATTAAGCCCTGGCTAGAAAAATCTAAAACTCATAGCATTTACGATCGGTAAGTTGAATATAGAAACCGCGCGTACACCGTGGATAGGCTAGTTTACAAAAAATACTTACACGTAAACATCTACTTTGAACGAAAAATATTAATAATAAGTATTCAAAAGTACGAGTATTAACGTAATTGTTTCCCTCGTGTGTCAGCCTCGAAAATGAGATTTAAATCTAGTGTTAAAACAAATGGCGTCTGACATTACGACGTGTAAAACTAAAAGCTTTGTCTACGTGAAGTATATCTTCTTATATGAAAACTGAAAACTTAATTTTAAGTTATTTTTCTTTTTTTGTTATACGTTTTTCTAATTTTTTTTTTTAAATTTAGTATTTAAAACCTAAACAGGTGATTAACCCAATCTACCTTCAAATACTACAAGTGGTACTACACAATTTATGGAGTGAGGTGAGAGGTCCAAAAATCAAAATAACAAACACTATTTTCGAAAACTAAATAATTTTCTACTAGGTTGTGGTTTCACGCGATTTAAAGTTTATTTTGTAGTTTGACTGACCCCCTTCTAAGAGATGAATATTTGAGTATGAATCTCTTTGAAACTACTTTGAGTTTATCTAGACTAGATAAATTATCTTTCGTATTGAAGTTTCATACTTAAATGACCTAGAGGAACGTTGTGCAGACGTATCTGCTTTTTTTATGATTGGACAATTCACACCAATTGACCTAGTCCAATGCTAAGCTGGTGAAGCTTGTGTTATATATTATACATAGATAGAATGCTCATCACATCGATGTTTGTCTCAGCCGGGGATCGAACCCGGGACCCATGGATTCGCAGTCAGGGGTACTAACCACTAGACCAATGAGCCGTCAAAGCCGGCTTAGTTTATATATGTACGGTTCCTGGGTCATCGGTATACTTTAAATAATAGAGGATTTTATTTGACTTTATATTACCCAATCGCGTACAGCAATAGTATATAAGCGAAATGTTGTTAATTGCTATGTAACGAATGAATGCAATGTAAACGTTTAAGAGAGTGCCTACGTCTGGCTATACTCTCGGGGCATAACTCCGACGATTTAGGAAATCGCAAATGTACAGTATTAACTCGTACAATATATATAAAAGACGCAGATTTATGCTCGTTTCACTCGTCTCCCATTTAAGAAGGCGATCCAATGCCGTATATAAAATAATTGTCCCTAAATATCAAATCCGGGATCACCTTAAACGTCATTAACATAAGGCGTGACTTACTGAGCTATGGGTTGCAGATTCGTGTGAATATATATATCGCTTCATTCTCGAGGTGTTGTCAATCGGTACGAAATTTATAAGGAATTTCTTTCATAAATATTTTGCTTGTGAATATTTTTGACATTACGTTAGCGACGAATAATAATACTACGACGAATATAGAAGATAGGATAAGACTTTGTTTTATATGAAATTATATATATTACGGAACAGTTTGGATGGGTACCAACCAGGAGCGTTTCCAGCATAAAGCGTGTGCACGTGATTAAACAATCATACTTAATAAATTTAAAAGTTGAAAGACATAGTCTGAATTGATTTACACAATGTGACTAAAACATTGTTGAACTTTTCTCTGATGTATTAATATTTTCATGAATATGTGGTTCTAACTTTAGCTTTGGTTTCTTTTTAAAATTATATATCAATGATAAAAACATAAATATTATCGCAATGTTACGGTTATTCGTTCTAGATGCACTGGGATAATAGATACGGCTTAGTAATTATATTCCCGGCCGATCGATGTGGTCCACAGTTAACTTAATTTAAAGTTGAGATTAACTAGCTGATTCAATTCAGTACCTACATTAATATACTTTAATTTAAGCTATAATGCATACTTGTTCGATTACTGACTCTATTATAAATTGGGAGCGGATTTGGAAGGTATATCTAAACCTTGGTTTTTTAAAGTCAAAAGACACATATTTCTCAGTGATCCTATGTATATAGGTCATAATAACATTTTCACTTACCATTTCTATCATTACTAATAACATCGATAATTTTCTAGGGAGAAGTGGGATCGGGGA